CTCTGGTCAAAACACAAAGGCAACAACCAGTTCTGGTGCAAAAAGGAAACTGAAGCAATAATCTGGATTATCCGGAGAAAAGAACCGGATTAAAACAGAACGCTCTGAAAGTCACACAAAGCAACACAGCGGGCGACCAGTTAACAAACAGAGGAGTTGCAGTGAAGAAAGTGTAGTCAAACGAAGTCCGAGGTCAAAGCAAGCTGAGTTCCAAGATAGCGAAGTTCCAAAGTCCACGTAGGCAGTGACGTAGTCAAACCGGTCCGAAGTCAAAGAAGGGGAAGTCCACACTCACGAGAATCCAAAGCAAGTCGAAGCACACACGAACAGAGTAGTAACCTGTAGAACCAGGACCCAATGCCAACACGAGACAGGCAGCGTCAAAGACCCAATGCACGAACATAAACCAACACTTTGCCTTCTGCAAAGATTCCCCGTTTCAGAGCCTACTTTTATCTTACACATCATCATCCGAAGATGAGCTGACCTCCGCCCCGTCATTAACTCTTTCAGCTGTTCTTGATTCCACACTTCTATTCCCATCCCTCCAACTTCTCCATCTTCTGTCAAGACTTAGATCTCCCTAATGTATCTCCCGTTTGCCAATCCTCATTATCCGAAAACCCCATAAATATGTCACTAGAAGTTGGCTCCGCACATACATCTTGCACCTCCATTACCTTAGTCCAGTCCAGTGTGTCATCCCCAACCTCATCACTCCCAGAGAAACCCACAAATGATTCTTCATTTGTGGGAGCAGTAAGTATATCCCGGATCCTCTTCCTCTGTCGCTCCTCATCCGATTCCTGCTCCCGAGTAACCCTCTTTGTTCCCCTATTGTCATCCATTGTATCTCCTTCCTCTCCCTCACTCATTGACCCTTCGTCTCCAGAGAACCCTTCGAATGAGTCTTCATCGGTAGGTGCCATAAGTATATCTCGGATCCTTTTCCTTTGCTGTTCTTCATCTGACTCCTACTCATGAGTACCCCCTTTCCCCCTTCTGGCACCCATACTACCACTTGCAACATTACTTACAGGCTCTACTACAATATATATGTGTATATATGAAATAATTTTACATATGAATTTTCCCCTCACATGTTTGCAAGTCTTTGCAAATCCTATATAGATATAATTATCTATATATAGATAGATTTCTAGATAGATATATATGAATATAGATATATATGGCTTGCAAATATTACAGGGGGGGCAATGCCCACACAAATATATATAGACATGTCTAGATATATATATGAATATCGATATATAGGGCTTGCAAATACTGCAAGGGAAATGCACATATATAGAGAGAGGATTATTATTATTAAGTTATTGTTGATACCATATTGTTTTTGTTGACCCTACTTTTCTACTTACACCGCTAGTTTACTGTTTTTCTTTGAAATACAGTAAATATTCAAAAACATTTAACTTACTGATGCCTCAATTAATGTAATTTTATTGGTATCTATTTTTATTTTGAAATTTACCAGTAGCTGCTGCATTTCCCATCCTAGGCTTATACTTGAGTCAGTAAGTTTTCCCAGTTTTTTGTGGTAAAATTAGGTGCCTCAGCTTATATTCAGGTCGGCTTATACTCGAGTATATATGGTAACTGCCCTGAGTTCTGTTGGGGAAAGAGGACTGGTTATAAATTATTATTATTATTATTATTATTATTATTATTATTATTATTATTATTGATGCATATATGGGCGGGTCCCTGTTACATAGTAAACTTTAACACTAAAAATTGGACATAACGTTCAATTCCTTCATTTTAAAAATAAGTTACTATTACAAAGTTTTGAAAGCATGAGTGAATGTATTAAAGAATTACTGTTTCACCATTCTTAGTCCAAGTCATACTTTACCCACATGTTCATATAATCTGTAAAGTGCTCTGAGTTCCTTTGAGGTGAGAAGAGTGGGGCATAAATATACTAAATTAATCAATGAGAAAAATGGTAGAGTTACTATTGTTTAAAACTTGAGTTGAATTTTAAGTAACCACTTCAATTATTCTCAGTATTCTACTTCGGTCACATTGCTGGGATCCAAACAACTGTCCAGTTAGTTGAGTTTGCATGTTGTATTTGTAATTCTTTAATGGTACCATTTGCCTCACTCCACTGTTGCATAGTGAGTTAGTTTTTAAATGAAGATAACGTTCAAGCTATTTGGATGTAGATCAGAGTTTAAGGCTCAAAGAAGTGGGGGGCGGGGGGGAGGCAAAAGTCCCACTGGGCAAGCCAAAGTAGCTCTTTGGACCTCAGCCAGATTTCAGTTGTAGCTGACTTGTATAAAACTTTTAACAGGGTTACCTTGACAAACTTCATAATGAAATCAGCCGAACTCTGGAAAAAGTTAGCAGTCGAGAAAAGTACATCAACAACCAACTAGAGCATTTGGTCCAAGAGTATCGTTCTGCACAAGCCCTATTGAGCGAGGTAATGCTGCTTACTTTGGATTGTTGTCAAGAGACTGTTTTCAAAACCACGTTTTTACTGTTAAATTCAAACTGTAGCAGCTTCTCTTATTCTACAAAAGATAGAAGACTTTTAAAAAAAACATGTTTTAGGTGCTATACTACTTTACAAATCAGATCACGCAAATCTCATCACACTTTCACATTTAGATGTTGGATGGAGAAATTCTCGGGGAGTTGCTTTCTTTTTTCATAATAAAGCAATTTTTTCCTTCACAGGCCAAAGAGAAATACCAACAAGGAAGTGGAGGTGTGACAGAGAGGACTAGAATTCTGTCAGAGGTAAAATTTTGCTCTTTGATATCTCATATATTTGCAGTGCAGTTTATATCATGGTGTTGCCATCAGCTGACAATGTCATGAATGCACTTAGTTTACTTTTGCATGTAGCCTGATCCTGTATGTGTCTAGTCCAGTGTTTCTTAAACTCTGCTCCTCCAGATGTTTTGGATTTCAACTCCCACAATTCCTAACAGCTGGTAAGATGGCTAGGATTGCTGGGAGCCGAAGTCCAAAACACCTGCAGGAGCACAGTTTGGGAAACACTGGTATAGTCAAAAGGAAATTGGGCTTGCTCTCAAGTAGCTATGCTGATTTGTTGTTCTGCAAGTCATATGTTTTGAAATCCTGAACAGTCTTGAAAGTGGACTTTCTAAATTCTGGTTCTTCTATCGGTCCTCTCCTTTGAGTTGATCCATTGAACTGTTAGCTAAATGATTTACGTAACTCCTGCTTCTCTGAAATTGTTCAAGATGAATGAGTTACTGTCCTTTCTTTTCAAAGCACTTTTTGTTAAGCATTAAGCCGTAGCATTTATTTTTCGTAAGATGATTAATTGTAAATGACAACACTGCATAACTTTGCATGATGAGATGGCCAGGCCGGACTACTGATGATTGAGCATTGCCAGAGCCAACAAAATAGTGAAAGTTGTTCCCAGTGATCCAGTTTGAATTCTGGGTGATCCTGGATGTGAACAAGGCAGCCTTTTTATTTTGTCTGCACTTCATTCTAGAACGGGTTCTCAAAGTGTGCTCTGTGGAGCTCTTGGGGTTCTGCAAAGCTGATTGAGGGGCTCTCTAAGCCTCCTAACAACTGGTAAGGTAAACTGGCTGGGATTTCTGGGAGTTGTAGGCCAAAACACCTGGGGAGCCACAGGTTGAGAACCACTAGCATAAAGGATTGGCCTTCTCCGTCCACTGTCAGAGCCTAGCGCCACCTTCTTTCCTTCTCTCTATTCCTCTATTCTTTCTCTCACAGTGGTGTCCCTCCTCCTCTTCCTTCTCCCTTCCAAGCTTTCTCTCCTCTTTCCTGTTCCTCCACCTCCCGCCACTACCTTTGCTTCCAAAACCTTTTTCCTTTGGACCCCTTGCTGCTAAAAGCCCCTTTCCCGCAACCCCCTTGCTACCCAAATCCTCCCCTATTGCTGTCAAAAGCCTTTTTTCCTCACCTTCCTCACCACCCAGATCATTTTGCCCTCTCCTTCCTTGCTTCCAAACCCCTATTTTTCCTCTCACCACTCAGGGGGTGTGTTTTCTGCATGGCAGAAGGGAGTTGGACTGACTAGCCCATGGGAGGGTTCATGTTGTTGTTGTTGTTGTTGTTGTTGTTGTTGTTGTTGTTGTTATTTAAAACACCACAAGATGAGTCCATAGCAGACACTCTGCTGGCTGTTGTATTGGATCATACGTCGAACACTTTCCAAGTGTCTAGGACTTGGAAATAAGCGAATAATGTGTGCACATCCCAGTAAGGTGGCCTTTTGCAGTTGGCAGATGGTAATCTTGTCAGCGCCCATTCTGTTTAAGTGCAGACCAAGGTCTTTAGGCATTGCACCCAGTGTGCCGATCACCACTGGGACCACCTTTACTGGTTTGTGCCAGAGTCTTTGCAGTTGTTGTTGTTGTTGTTATTACAAAAGCTGGGTGGCCATCTGTTGGGGGTGCTTTGATTGTGTTTTTCCTGTATGGTAGATGGGGATTGGGCTGGATCGCCCCTGAAGTTTCTGTTGTTGTTGTTGTTGTTGTTGTTGTTGTTGTTGTTGTTGTTGTTGTTCTTCTTCTTCTTCTTCTTCTTATTATTATTATTATTATTATTATTATTATTATTATTATTATTATTTATAAAGCCTGGATGGCCATATATTGGGGGCGCTTTACATGTGCTTTTCCTGAATTGCAGAGGAGTTTGGACTGGATGGCCCCTTGAGTTGTCCACTGAAACACTTTTAAGTTTATGTTGGTTAAAATTGTTCTTCATTTTAAGTATATTGTATTGTTCTTTATTTCCTTGTTTTCACTTTGTGAATGAATTTACACAAACACTTTCCATTCATCTGGCACTGGCCCAGCCCATGCATTTTATTTATATGAAAACATTTCTTGCAGGAGAAAGAAAATGGAATATATGAAACTGTCAACTAAAATATATAGGGAAACTAAGGGATTAGGATCCTTTTCGGGATGTCCAGTAGTAGTTTGTATTGTTGAAGGCTTTCATGGCCAGAATCACTGTAGTTTGTTTGATTACACAGTAATCAAATAATCAAACAAGTAGTTTGTTTGATTACACCGCCAACAAAACAACAAAAAATATCGCGGTGTCTTGATTTTTAGGCCTGTTCCTGTGGCGCAGATTCAGAAAATTGCATTGACTAGAGCATCAACTTTAGTTTCTTCGATATGTTATTATAGTTTTCTGTGGGCGAGCAGATGGTGATTGGTAGATGGCATATAATCTGTACCTAAAAAGCTAGAGCTATTAGGGGAAACCTGGCACCATTTTTGGAATTAGTAGGTCAAATATACCCAGAAGCAGGTCTAACATTTCAAGTATCAAAATATGTGTTGGCCACTGGCCAGTGTTATCTATGCATGTGATTTTAACCGGCCATGATCAATTCTTCCATGATTTTTGGATTCTCATTTTCTTCATCTGCTTTTGACTTAATGAATCCTTTGTGGATATTGTGGAAAAGGTGAAAGGAAAGATGAGCTCAGTGAGGACAAATCCTACCAGGGTGGTGTTGATTGATTATACTGCTGTTATCAGTGACAGTCTGTGAAATCATACAATATTTTAAATGATCTATAAGGCTTAATGTTGGTACTAGTTATTTTTAACACTAATGATAGTTTTAAAGATTTCTTTTAGTTCAAAGCACATCCTAAAAAAAGTACTGACCTTGCTCACCAAAATGAGAAGGCAGAACATTCCTTTATTATTAAGCTGATTGGTAAAATGGATATGAATCTGAAAATAAATAAAAGACATCTTCAAAAGCTATTGTATTTCTTCAATTCTAAGATACACTTTTTCCTATATAAACAGTTCTAAAAATGGGGTGTGATTTGAATTGCAGGTGTCTCTTACATATTTTTCTTGAAGGTCATGGTACTGAAATTAGGGTGCATCTTACAATCAATAGTGTCTTACAATTGAAAAAATATAGTACATATTGTTCTATTATTAGAAAATGAGATTCTAGCTGTTGGTACTAGAACAGTAGTTTGTGGCTTTGTGGATGTATGTCTTACTGCAATGCTATGTATGTATGTATGTATTTTATATTCGTATTTATATCTCAGTGCCATTTAGAGCATAACAAAATAGATGAAGAGTTATTAGGAAGGGCAATAGTTTACACAAGGTTAACTATGTGCCTCAGATATTCCAGCTGTTGTCTCAACATATTCATCCGCTTTGGCAGACCTGAAAGGACATGGCTGCTGCAACAAGGTGTCTGTCAATGTGTTGTCGAAGGCTTTCAGGGCTGGAATCACTGGGTTGCTGTGAGTTTTCCAGGCTGTATGGCCATGTTCTGACATTTTGCCCACATCAATGGCAGCCATTCTCAGAGGTTGCCTGCCATAGATGTGGGCCAAATGTCAGGAGAAAATGCCTCTAAAACATAGCCATACAGGTCAGAAAACTCAAAGCAACCCAAGCTGTCTGTTCTTCACAGGATAAAGTTATTCCTTCTCCTGTTTCTTGTACTTGTAGCCTCTGCTATCAGACACACTATGCACTTTTGAAGCAAAAGAGTTTCTTCCATTCCTCAGATGTTCCAAGCACAATCTGAACCTTTTGGTCAGAAGAGGTCTTGGAGGAGAATGTCTCTAGCCAAGAAATGGCTTTCAGAATAATAATAATAATAATAATAATAATAATAATAATAATAATTTTGTTTCAGATAATAATAATAATAAAAATCGCCCCAATGGGAAAATACATCACACAGTCCTAAACACTTGAGAGGTGTTTGACTGGTGATTTTGTGATACGAAATCCATCAGATAAATCTCGTTTGTTGTGTCATACTGTGTTTTTGTGTCATTAAAATAAATTATTATTATTATTATTATTATTATTATTATTATTATTATTACTGCTACTCCTATCCTCAAGGCAGGTTACAACATCACTAAAAACACATAATCATCTAAAAACATTACATAAAATGTGCATATTAAAACATATTTCTAAAAAATACATAAGGTATTAAAATACACAGAACAAAGATTTAATGTAAAATGCAGGTTTAAAATTCATGATTCAAACTGGTTGGATAGGTCTTCCAGAAGAGATAGGTCTTTAGATGATTTTTAAATTCCGACAGCTCATTAACTGTTGGAGCTCTTTCGGCAGGTCATTCCACAGTCTTAGGACGAGCAATGAAAAAGTCCTCTGGGTGACAGCTGCCAGTTTTATTTTATTTATTTATGACATTTATATGCCACCCTTGTCACCCTAAAGGGGACTCAAAGTGGCTTACAAGTAACATATAAATACAATATATTATATAATGCAGTATTAATGGTGCTGGGGAGGGGGGCTCCCAACTGATGACACTGGAGGCAAGATGGAACTGCCTTCGTGGCCCCTCTCTTCACTCTGATCTCAGAGCAGCAGTTGGTGTTTTGGGGGGGGGGCTCCCAACTGATGACACTGGAGGCAAGATGGAAGTGCCTTCATGGCCCCTCTCTTCACAATTGGATTCTGGCAGGTGGAGCAGCCGCCCCTCAGTGGTCCTAAGTGTTTGAGGAGGATCATATGGGAGAAGGTGATCCTGTAGGTAACTGGACCCAAACCACGTAGAACTTTAAAGGTCAAAACCATCAGTTTGTACTTTGCCTGGAAACTAATTGACATCCAGAAGTGTAATATGTCCACTCCCGGATGTTCCTGTAACCAATCTGGCTGTCATATTTTAAACCAACTGGACTTTCCAAAGTTGGTACAAAGGTAGCCAATGTAAAGCACATTGCGGAAGTTCAACCTTGAGGTTACCAGTGCATGCATTACCATCTTAAGTCCTCCAAATCTAGGTAAGGGGCAAAGAAATTCTGTATCCATGCAAGTGTTATTGGTTGTTGGCTCAGGAAAGGAGATATACTAGAAAGAGAACAAATAAATTCAGTTATGATTCATTCTATCCCATGCATCTTTTCAAAACACTAGACAGGGAAAATGAGCAGGAAGTCTCCATTATAGAAGGGTTTGTTGGGCTCCAAGAGCAATTTTGCCCTATTGGATTGCTCCAAGTTGCCTTTATTTCGATACAATGCAAGCTGCAACCTTATTTCGTGTTTGTAATATTATTTTGGAGGGGGGTCACTTTTTAGGCGTGAATTGCATATCTTCCATTATTAAAATCAGCCAACTGTTTTTGCTTCTTTCTGCCCCATGGCTCTCTAATAAGTCCAATACCTAGTGAGTATTACTGAATGTATGATTTTGAAAAAGGCTACTGATAAAATATACTTCTTTTTTAAAAAAAATCACACTGGGGTCCTTTTGAAACCAGTCATTAATTTGATTTTCATCTAGGAGTTTGAAGAGATATGTTTGACCCCAATAGCAGATGGACAGATTTTGGAGGGAAATGGTGATTTGTTCCATTGAGAATTGATATAGCTTTGGTAATGCTAGATTTGACAAATAACATGTTTACCTTTTTTTTAAAAAGATTACTGAAGAATTAGAGAAGGTGAAGCAGGAAATGGAAGAAAAGGGCAGCAGTATGACTGATGGTGGTAAGCTCTATCTTGAGGTTCTTTCTCAGACAAAGCTCCTGTTTTTGAGCTAGTTAATACTTTTCCAAACCAAGAGCAAAAATTAAGCTGCAGAAAAACAAAAGCAGAAGGAGTAGCTGAGATACAGTTGGAGTCTGTATTCTCTTGAGGCACAAGATCACGTGGCATGTCTCAGTAATTGTATCTGGAGTCTTTCTTAAATTCTTGGGCATTTTCTACAACTGATGCAGCCAGAAGTATGCTTTTTGCTGGTAAAAAGCATTGAGGAAATGTCTGTTATGGGTTCATTCCATTTTAAAATGCGAATAAGTCTATCCTTTACTTGGACTTATAGTGCTTTATTAGGGGGAAAGTATTGTAAATATTCTACTTGTAGTCCTTCGAGATTTATGAGGCTGTTGTAATAATGGGTACTTGAAGAAATCACAGGAATTTGTACTAGTGTAGACTAAGAAATCTGTAGAATTTTGTTTTGAGTAGTCTTTTCACCAAAAGCAAAATTTAATTTCACTATAAGTACTGAAAAAGTAAGCATTTTAATGCACCTCTTCAGATCTAAAATGTCATGAAGGTGGTAGAGTATATCGTAATTTTAAAAAGCTTCCGTGAATCTATAAAATTGTGTCTCCAGAGTAATGTCATTCTTTTGTTCATTTAGCTCTCCCGATTAGCAGAAGGAGTGAATTATGAAGGAAAAAAATAGTAACTTTCTTCGTATGGCAGAGTGACAGAAAAAATGTGCCATTTTGCATTTTTCTTTTTAACAGCTCCTTTAGTAAAGATTAAACAAGCTTTGACCAAACTGAAACAAGAAACCATTCAGATGGACATACGAATTGGCGTAGTGGAACACACGTTGCTTCAATCAAAGCTGAAAGAAAAATCAAACATGACTAGAGACATGCATGCTACTATAATTCCAGATTCTTCCATTGTCGGTACCTATTAAATTTGTTTGATGTTTATTTTTTTAATGCTATGTAAATCATTTTGTGATATGACATATACACACACACATATATATAAAACTATGTATGTCATTTTACAAAGCCATAAATTTTGTTTTTATACATGCAGTAATGTTCTGTTTCTGTATGATTTATTATATAGCTTTTTGTAAGAAAAATGTTAATAAAATTTCATTAACAAGTTCTTGGTATGATAAATCAAAGGGCTGTAAAGGAATTATCGGAAAGAATAATAATATTGGAACGAAAAAGTCAGCTACAAAAATGGATGTTGCAGAGTGTACAACTTGCAATATGAATTTCATTGGGATTCTATAGGTTTTAGATCAGGACTGTCGGGGCCAGGAACTGCATCTGGCAATAACACCCCCCCCCCCCCACACACACACATGTCTTTTCTAACATATGGGTATGATTTAAGAGAAGTTGGTACTGCATTATGTAAGCATTATACACTTCCCTCTCTCTCAAATTAGTACCTCATGTGAAGAGATGCAATGTTTTACATTACTGTAATCTACACTGATGGGCAAGAGTCGGGAGGATGTTTGCACCCAAGGAATGAGTGTGATATCCTGTGACCTTTGGGAAAGGTTTCATTTGATAAGGATATCTAAACTGGCTAGACAGTATAGATATCCTTCTCAAACAGTAGTGGCTGTGAAGGTGCCTTCAAGAACAGAAGATGATGCTGAGTCCAGAGTGGGTGGGACTGAGCCTGTGAGGGAACAGTAGTGACATTAATGAAGGGATTAATGTCCCTGTGACAGAAGGCTGAGAATCCTGGAGAGTCTGAGAATGTGTGTGCGCTTGTGGGTTTTTTGTTTGTTTGTTTGAAGTCAGTGTAGCTTTGTTGGACTTCTGTGGCAACTTCTACATATGTATAAACTAAATTATCAAGCCCTGTATTCACTGATATTGGTTTAGAAACCTTACCACTCAGTACTACGTCCTCACTGCCTCTTAGCTTTAAGCCTAATGTTGTGTCCCTCTTTGGCTAAGTCTATCCACAGTCTGTTCTTTATTGTGATGAGAATTTGGGATAATCCAATCTTTGAGAATAACTAATTATCATAATTATCCTTTAGATACCTTCCTAGGTTCATGCCCCATATCAAAATAATCTTGAGTGCTTTTTGGTGGTGCAACAGTTTGTTCCCAGTATTAACTGGGAAAGGAGCTAGAGTTACACACAGTTCTGCAGAAGTATCTGACCCTCTTGATATTTCCAGTTTGATACACTCCATAGTGAGTGAAATCACTCACAGGATTCCTTTCCTGGAGACACTGTGTACAGAGATTGCTTTATTCCTTCCACTGACTCACCCACACTACTAGGTTCATTTCCTTTCCACCTCATTTCCATTATGCCAGTTACACCACTTTTTAAATCAAGCAATCCAGTTCTCTTGGTTTTGAAATGGAGGCTTATGGTATTAGCAGACAACACTATACATGGGTTTGTGTCCAAATTACTAAAGTTTTCATTTCTCTGATGCTTTACCTTTGTGAACAGCTATCATGCCCATTTGTAACATACGCCTACTCCATTACCATTCTAAGTGATAGCAATTTAATTCTAAACTGAGGTTGATCTTACTCTATTTTGAAATATACTCTGCCACATTTCAGTAGACTGTTTCCATACTGGATCACGTGCAACATACATGAAATCTTCCAAATTGTCAAAATAATTGGTAGCATTGGTAGGGTCGGGATTTAGCACGGCTGGTTAATCACCAACAGCAGTGTATCTTACCAATTGAAAGGTTGGCAGTTTGATGCCCGGGTCTGGGTGAGCACCCAACCTTCAGCCCAGTTTACTGTCCACCTAAGCAGTTCAAAAACAGCTGTGAGCTGTGAATAGAGAAATTAGACACTGCTTAAGCGGGGAGGTATTTTATGACGCCATAAAAGAAATACCAGAAAATGCCAGCGATCAAAGGAAGGAAGAAGTCTATGATCAAGGCTCTTCATCATAGAGGATGAAGTGACAGCACCTCCTGTGGCCGGAATTGAGCACAACATCCAGGACGCCAAAGTTGGGGGAAAATGCTGACATAATACCTCTATCTGTTGTCTGTCCTGTCTGTTTAACGGCATTGATTGTGTGCTGTGTATGTGTGTTGTGTCCTGAGTCCCCTTTGGGGTGAGACGAGCAGAATATAAATGCTGTAAATTAAATAAATAAATGAATGAATAAAAGCATTTACATATTTTTCCCACCAGGACAGCAAGTCACTGTGTAGATGTACATGTCAATCATAAACCCAACAATCTCTCTAAGGTTCAATCATCCACTATCAGACATACAATGACATACCTGGTGTATGGAGCAAGTCTCCTCCAGGAATTATTTTTCTTCTCAGAATGGCATTTTCCTTTCTCAAACACCTGCATTTTTCATGAGAACAGAGAGACTCCTATGAAGTAAGATGCAGTTATATCGGCAAAGCTTTGTCTAGCCATCTCTCAGCTGCAAGAGCCAGTAGAAAACAAAATTGTTATTTGAAAAGTTGAACCTCACTGTAAAGTGCATAGTTAAACCGCTCCCCAGTGTTGTGTGTTACGCAATTTCCAGGACTGCCGTATCCAATATCCACAATCCCACTTGTTTTCTCCCTTGATGGCTATTTTCCCTCAGGTATCATGAGCAAACAATTGCTAGAAGTTAAAAGTTAATCTGTAACACACTCTTCCACGTTGTAAAGACTAGCTCAAAGTATCCATTCAGCCTCTAGAGAATATGCAATTTTGTATATTTTGCCTAGTTCCAAGGCCATTTTAGCTCAAGGTTGCACCCTTTTAACCCTAAGTTAGAGTTTTTGAATTTATTTATTTATTTATTTATTTATGGTGTTTTGTCTTGGAGTATGGGGAAATTTTGCCATGCTTTTCCACCTATGGCTGTTTTAGGATCGGAGGCTCTTTTGACAAGAGGAAGTAAACTTGTTTTTCCATGTGATTTCGTGATGCAAAGAAGGGGGTCTCTCTTGTGCTAAAAAGACCCTGGATACAGGAAAAATGGGCCAGATTTCTCCCCATGCCTCCTTGGGGATGTATAAATGTTGTTTTGCAAAACATTTGAAAAACCGGGGGGGGGGGGGGGGGGGGCATGGGGCTTGGGAAGGGGCAAATACAGCTCAACTGCTTTAATAGAATAGTAAATATTTTACATTCAAGAGAGGGAAAAGTTGGCTGTTGTAATCTCCTTGCCTAGTTAGTAAAACTAGGTGTTTAAATCATTTATCTATTTCAGTGATTCCCACCAGTGGTCTGCAAAAACTAAAATGTGGTCTGCGGCCACATTTTGCAACAAGAGCATTTGGTCTCATGAAACCCTCTTATAGTGCTGAGGCTTATTAAATCTGGTTTTTCGTGGGCGAGCAGATGGTGACTGCTGGATGGCATATGTTCTGTATCAGAAATTACAGCCAATATGGTCTATCCAATGCAGTTTTCTGAATGAGCACCCCAAATAACCAAACCCAAGTTTAAAAACAGATTCTAACCCTTTTGGTCAAAGTGATCCCTGGTCAAGTGTTCCCTGATTTTAAAAAAAGGTTGGGAACCACTGATCTACTTGGTTTCTTCTTAACCTGACATTTTGTAACTGGTTTTCTCCTCTATTGGTAAAAATTTCCCTCCCCTTCCCTACTCCACCCATTTACCATCAGGTATCCTGCGGAAAAGGTTTCACAAAAAGGAAAGAATGCAAGTGAGTGAGGTGTCTGCACTTTCTCTTCCCTAACAACTGCCCTGTGGAAAGAATCCTTTCATATGTTAATATTTAACCCAGCAACGTTAATATATTTGTCATTTCTAGCAAACTGCCTTGGGAAAAGAAATTATCCCGAAAAGATATAAATCACTGTCATTAAATGAATAAATACATAATAGCTTACTTAACTGGGGAAGGGAGGGGTAGAGTTGCCTCTGTTTTGTAGCATAAATACTAAAAACTTCAACAGTTTCATTATAAATTCAGGTCAGCACCTCCATGACATAAATATGATCAAAGTGGAACCTTCTAGGCCAGTGTTTCTCAACCTGGAGGCTGCAAGGGGGTTTCAGAGGGGTTACCAAAGACCATCAGATACATACATTTCTGATGGTCTTAGGAACCCCTTTGGCAGAGAAGGCTGAAAATCTCTCTGCTTGTCCTTCTCTTCCTTTTTGGAAACAGACGGCGAATCCTCTCACCAAAAGTCCTCTTCCACTGTGATTGGCCGGCCTCTTAGCTGGCTTCTCAGCCAAGAGGAGGGCTGTTTCTGAGACTCCATGCGGGCAGGGAAAAGCAGGTGTGCTCGGCGCATGGCAGTGTGGTGTGCATGTGCAGGTGAGGGAGAGTGTGAGCTGGAGGGAGGCTCGTGCTAGTGAGTCTCTTCAAGGCATGGGGGTTCTGTGTGAGAAGTTTGGCCCAATTCTATTAGTAGTAGGGTTCAGAATGCTCTTTAATTGTAGGTGAACTATAAATCCCAACAACTACAACTTCCAAATGTCAAGGTCTATTTTCCCCAAATCCCACCAGTGTTCAAATTTGGGCTATATTGGGTATTTGTGCTAAGTTTGGTCCAGATCCGTCATTGTGTTCACAGTGTCCTCTGAATATAGGTGAACTACAACTCCAAAGCCCCCAGTGGCGCAGTGGGTTAAAGCACTGAGCTGCTGAGCTTGTTGATTGAAAGGTCGCAGGTTCGATTCTGGGGAGCGCCGTGAGCTTCCGCTGTCAGCCCTAGCTTCTGCCAACCTAGCAGTTCGAAAACATGCAAATGTGAATAGATCAATAGGTACCGCTCTGGCGGGAAGGTAACGGCGCTCCATGCAGTCATGCCGGCCACATGACCTTGGAGGTGTCTACAGACAACGCTGGCTCTTCGACTTAGAAATGGAGATGAGCACCACACCCCAGAGTCAGACATGACTGGGCTTAATGTCAGGGGACTACCTTTACCTTTACCTTACAACTCCAAAAGGTCAATGACCACCAAACCCTTCCTTCCAGTATTGTCTGTTGGTCATGGGAGTTCTGTGTGCCAAGTTTGGTTCAATTCCATTGTTGGTGGAGATCAGAATGGTCTTAGATTGTAGGTGAACTATACATCCCAGCAACTACAACTCCCAAATGATAAAATGAATCCCCTCCAACCCTACCAGTATTCAAATTTGGGCATATTGAGT